CGTTGCTATCGTCGCTTGGGACTCAATTCCCGCGCGTGCGCAGGTGACGACCCCCAGCTTTAAATTCCGGCAGCCCTCTACTGTCGACCAGCTTCATTATCAGCTGGTATTGCTAGCAAGCATCACTATTGATCAGCTGATGGATCAACTTGCTTGAATCTCGTGCGTAGTGGCGATCTTGGCAAAGATGGATTTTAACTTTGACGAAGACCTTTTTGGAGAGTCAACAGGGAGGTGCAACCTTGTAACTGAAGACTACACAGCAAAAAATTGTGAACAGATGGTATGAATATTCATGGAGCTATAATTCTTTTTTTAGTTCATATGGAACTATGGGTCATTTCAGTCCCCCCCCCCCTTCCCCGGATGGTTTAAATCCGAGGGGTCATATTTCTACAAAAAGTATGGATGGTTTAATTCCGAGAGGTGTCATATTTTTGATATATTTAATTTGTTCACATACCCATCCGTATATGTCAAATTAGTCAAGTTTCCGGGGGGGGGGGTGTTAATTAATAAAAGTCCATAGGGTGTCATAACCTTAATATCCATCCGTAGGGGTGTGTGGACAAAAACTGGAATGACTCTATCGGGGGAACAATCAATCTGGAGGAGGTTGCTTGACAGCCATGCACTTTCCCCCGAAATTGTGATTATCTCTGAATCATTGAAAAAATCAACAAATTGGGAAAGAAATATAGCTAACCAAACTCACCTTTTTTGTTGTTATTCATTGATCTTTACTTTGTTGAATAAATACTTCTTTGTTGAATTTGAATAAAGCACAAGGATCCTCCAGGGTAAATAATTTTTAAATAGTTTATAAATTTTCATAAAATCTGTTTGTGCTATCATGAAATTAACAGTACCATGGCAATTAATGTTATATTATAATTTTTGTTATTAGTGGTTTATTTCAGATGATGTCACATCAAATGAAGAACCAATACAGTTACATCTATACAGAGGAGATACATATTATTATAAAAAAGATTACGACAATGCGTTGAAATATTATCTGTTGGCAATGCAGTTGTTACATGCCAACAATTTATCATTAAAACGTGTTATACAAGACTGCGTCGCTAGGTGTTATACGAATCTTGCCCAGTATAAAGATGCTGAAACAATCGCTGTACAACTGGTAGGTAATGGTTCTTGCTTATGGTATCTTGCTGAATGTGATATATTAAAATCTGATGAATATGGTAATACAGTTTTACTTTGAGATGATACTTTTAGATTTTAGACAATTTTATCACATATTTGTAGCTCGCACCACGGTTACTGATAACCATGCTTGCGTATAAAATATGGCCATCTATTAAGTTAATACGGTAAACGTTGGACAACAACCTTATTAGCTGAGTCAGTGCAAAAGTCAACTACTGTAAAAGGATTAATTATTCACTGGGTTTTAGTTTTGCTTATTTCACAGACTGGAAATAGCGCTAAATTAAAACCCAGTGAATATGTAAAATTGAGCATAGAACACATTATTTAAATGATAAAACCGTGAATTTAAAACCCACTGAATATGCCTGAAATGGTAAATCAGTGAAATTTAAACCCAGTGAAAATTAGTCATTTTACAGTATGTTTACATTCATCAAAATATTTGTACCCAATAGGAGGTTGTGTTAATCTTATCCAAAATTAACAAAGAAATTAGATTAAAAAAAAAAAAAGGTGTAAATAAAAATGTGAAAAGTTTTGGAAAAAATTATGTTGAACAAAAAGTTAATATAATTATGGTATTGTTTAATTCCATAGTGTGAAGATTCTTACTACATGGAACAGAAAACCGCAGCGCTCAATTTGTTATTATCTGTATACCATGCGGCTGGAAAAGTAAAAGGTAAACTATTAGAAGACAACTTTGCTTTAAAACTCTCAAAAATATTGATGAACGTCTACGGATGAATACTGACATTTTGAACAGCTTAGTTGCTTTTGATTCATCTGTATCATAGAAGCGTTTCATTGCTTGTGGCCATGATGATAAAAGTGTATTAATCGCTTTTATATCGCTATGGTTCAAATTGTTAATGTATGATTGTTGTTTCATATATAGTGTTTATTATTATGGGAAAAGAATCACATGGAACAAATACAGTGTACGTCAGAAACCTGTAACTTAGTTTATAAATGCATTCATAAATGCTGATACATGCCTTCAATTATACAGTATATTGATACAATATAGTATGTGACTACCCACTTAATATTAAGTGTTTTCTGATTGGATGATGTTGACATTTCAACGGACTTGATTACAGACAATGCATGGCGCAAATTTCAGGCGGAAATTCAACAGTGTGCTCTCGCAATCGCGGATTTAGTCATTTTTACAAGGTTCGCCATTTTTGCTGTCACGTGGTAATTATGTAAACAATGACTGTCCAGTTTGTACGAACTTGTCCTTCTATACTTTTGAATTATTTACGCTAAATTACAGTTCTGAATGAGACAAAAAACAGAACGCTCTATTCAAAAACATTGTCAAACCCTTCTCGCTACCTTAATATTTATTTATACTCACTATGGTGTTACAACGCCATTGCTGGAATTGTCTAATTCTAACAGCCAATTTTAATTTATAAATTTTGTTATTTATAATGTTCACAGGATTCTGGCATACACTGTATATTTTACAAAAAACATTCACAGTAAAAATACCCTTAAGAGTATTGAGGTTTGTTTAATACTGTGATGACAGCATGTTGTCGTCACCTGTGCATAGTGTGTCATTGTTTACAAACAAGCATCTACCCATGAGCCTTTGTGATTTTAGCGTCTGTTGTTATCATCGCTTGGTGTGTGCGCAGGTGACACCCTCCCGCTTAAATAGGTGATTTTCTGGTCACAACAAGATCTCGCTTAATGCGTGAAAGACTTTACGACTGCGGCAAATTTAGCGATTTGTCTGTGAATTTAATTTTTCTTTTTTTATAGCTCAATATTTATCGCTTGATATATGAAAAAGGGAATATTGTGTTGAGATACCTTTACTTCATCAGATGTGTATAGCACATTATTAAGTCTTGAATAAATTCACGTTGTCGAATCCCATGTTTTGATGTCACTAAGATTGTATGACCTTTGTTTGTCCTGCTCTAATAACATTATTGACTTTCATTTTCATTTGAACAGAAGAACAGAATATACTACAGCAGTTTATCACGCTTCAACCAACCAATCCTCATCTATGGCTTCAATTAGCGGAAACTTACTCAATTGAATCCAGTACATGTGTTCCTGGAAGATCACAGGAATTGCTGGAAACAGTTACATCGAATTCGGACTGTGAAATAACAGTATTAAGTGACCCAGATAGTCAAATAGAGAAAGATGCTGCGACAGAACTTTTAAATGTTACAAGTGTTGTAGATACTGTCAGACGATACACAACACTTTTATGTAAATGGGCCTCAGAGTGTAATGGATACCAGTCGCTACAAGTTATTAGTTGTTTAACTGCAGCAAGGTAATTAGTCATTTGCATATTGCTGAGACAAAAAAAATAAATCTTTATATTATCCTTCGTCATACTGAAAAAATCACAGGAGTTTGTTATAAAAATTACTGATCGTTTTCGGATATTATATGATAAATAAAAGTACAAAGAAAACACATTTTAAAAATATGAATAAAAACATATATCATTGTCTATATTTGGTCATGATCAATTCTGCTAGCCATGAATCAGCATAATATTGTGACAAATGAAAAATGATCTGTGTAAAAGGAGTTTGAATAACAATAAAAACATAATGCATTGTGAACTAATAAAAGCACTTCACGCAAAAAAATATTACTTTAAATATATTGTTTTAACTACTGTTTCAGATCTGTCATTTATCGCACACTGAGCACACATTAAGATTTTAAATTGATCACCCTGGATTGAACGGCAAATGCATATTTGGAAATTTATATTATAACAGTGTAATGATCAAACCCCTCACTGTGCCATATTGGTTTCAGAGTTAATTCTACGCAATATGCAGTCATTCACCTTATATGGCTTGTACAGAATTAACTCCTAGTCTGATACGGTTCTATGGAGGAGATCATTATTGTTTTATAATACTGAGATATAACCTGCATTGTGTTTTTTATAGGATTTTACTCTCCAGTGTGGAACATAGTGTGGTGTCTTTTGCTAAAGAAAGAAATCAACGACTTGAAAAAGAGGTAAAGTAAACAAATCTTAGAACACTGACAGATTGTATTATTGCAAAATAAAGGGATGGTATATGGACAATGATTCATAAATACAAATAATGGATCACTATTTTATTTTTCCAATAAGTTTGCACTTCGTACGTTGAGGATATATTTTCTTGTGAAGTGTTTGCATGTCAACTTCAAAAAGAATATTCAAAACTTTGTCTATTCGGTACAAAAAAATTAAAAAAAAAGGAAAATAAATAAAAATGGACAAAATAGTTGCGTTCAAAGGGTTAAAAACCCCAGTGAAATGTTTGAATTCTTGAAATAAAACTTGTCTCGTGTTGCTCTTGGTTTATCAGTTCAGATTGCTCTAATAGGTCTATCTGAAATTTTAGATTTTAAAAAATGATTCACGTTTTTTTTTATTCTTACTTTATTCACAGATTCATGAGAGGATACTCAGCATGAACATTTCTGATAAAGTTTTTGAAGTGCTTCGGCAGCTCACAAAATATATTATTTATAGATGTGAAGATGAAGGATTCACTGATGGAAACCAAATACCTAAAAATTTATCTGAGAGAGTGAACAGAAAATTTGAAGAAAAATGGTTTCCATGGTTACAATTCCTTGACAGCTGATAGCAACATTAGTGTAAAGGCAGATAATGTAAAAGACAATATAAATGAAGTGTAACCATGGCAATGTTTAAATCAAACAATTGCTTGTGATTGATGTTTATGTAACTCTTCAGTCATGTGACTTCAATAACATTCTTCACAGACATACTGGGATTTATAATATTTTGTGGAAACTTATTTGAAATGGATGGACTGTGTGTGCTGTAAATGCATTAATCATACTTTTTTACTGGGTTTTAATTTCTCTATTTAAGCTGACAATTTAAATGCTAAATTTAATCTTGGTCAAAATCATTGTTTTACTAGCAGGTTCAAGTTCATGGAAATATTCAAATTATAAATGCCAGTGATAAATTAATGGTTTTACAGTAATATTAAAATTTTCTTTGTCAGGTTAATTCCCTTATTTGATTACATTTTTCTTGTTTCTTTGAAACTTGTTCCTGTCTGAACTTGATAAAACATTAGGAACTTCTTATTTGCAATTCAATACCTCCTGCACTATTTTGCATTTAACTGGATCAAACAACACCTTTTTGTTTCTCAATGAAATGTATTTTCCTTTAAATTTGTTTAATTGGTTGAACTTTAATTATTTTTTTTTCTATGTATAAATAATTCATATCACAGATTGAAGAACGTGTTTTGCATCACAACATACTAAACACGCTTCAATTTCATGAGATTTAGAATATCGCTAAATCCCCCCCCCCCCCCCCCAGTATGGAGTGCTGAAAATTATGGGCTGGGCCAGAAAAGTTGAAAGGATGGCAGTCACTCAGTATTTATTTATTTATTTATTTATTTATTTATTAACACATAACCCCCCCCCCCACCCCCCCCGGATGA